TGACCCAATTTTACCTAGGTCAAAAAACCCTCGCTAAATTGATTTTCTTTTTTTTATCCAATCCCCCCCACCCAATAAAAAAAAGAACCAGTGCTTCTGAAAACTGGGCTAAGATCATTCCTGACCCATTTTTGAGAGGATCGTCAAAGGTTCTTTCAAGTCTGACTCAAACCCTGTCAATTTAGGGATGGTTTGGATCTCACTGTAAAGGAATAAAATTGGTTCTCATACTTGTGACATGAGCTTTGGAAATTCCAAAACAAAAAATGTTTACATAATTTGTATGTTTGATCTATTTAATAATTTATGTATAATATGGCTTAAAAAGCTTCACTACATTAGTTTCAAATCATGAAATAGACTTTTTTTTTTGGTTAAATCAACCAATCAGCCCCAAGATTGAGGTAGGACGTGGCTTTCTCTAGTTCCTTGTCATAGTCGACAAATTCAAAAATAAATAAATAAGCGATAGAGACATTTAGACAAAATTTATTGATTACAGGGGACCAAGTGGCCGCCAACCAATAGTAAACCAATGTTTGGATTATCTCTCGAAAGCATGGTCCTCAAAAGAACAGAGTGTCATTGGTTACCATTATCAAAACCTTGCGGCTTGTGCTAATAAGATGGTCATTATCTCTAGGTGACATTGCAAAATTAATGCCGAGGCAATCATTGTCTTCAATTAGGGACATTATGGTCCTTTCATTATGACTGCATGTGATCGCTTTCAGCATTTGACACAGCCAAGGGGACCGCTGAGCCCAATCGGTGATCAGTCCTAAAATCAAATCCCAACCAAAACCAAATAAGCCTGAAATAAAAAGCAAAAGTCTTCCGTCTCTATTTACCCCCTAAATTATTACATTTGTTCATTAATTACCTCCTAAATTATTTTTAATGCCTACATATTTTCTAAACCATTAAATTAGTCACTTGCTTCCCGCCTAACTAATTTAGTCTCATCTTACCCTCTAAACTATCACTTTCTTTTCATGATTTGATTAAAAATACCCTCAAAGCAATAAATCAAGGTGATAAGGGGGTACTGCATTTCATAATGTAGAGGGTAAGCGGAGACGATTTTGCTAGTTCAGAGGGTAAGATAGAAGGAAAAATAGTTCAAAAAATAAGCAAGAACCTAATTTAGTAGTTTATGGGCCCAAGAGGTGACAAAATACAGCTCTTTCTTCTTCTTCTTCCTTTTCCTTTTTCAAAGGAAAAACTCAATATAGTTCAAGGGGCAAATAGTTTGGCTGAAACCAAAGCAAAACGGAGCTAAAACAAAAATCCACCTTACTAAATTTGAACATTAGCTCTCTACTGTCATATTCATGGGATCATAGTCATTAATTCCTAGAAGAGTTTTACTTTTCTTCACCAACTAAAAATACTCTGTATTTGCTTATGTGACCTGATACGTAATACAGATTAAGAATATTAACTCACATCTCAAAGCAAGTCAGTTTTCTTTGGGTGGGCAGGGAGGGGGGGGGGGGGGGGTGTTAATTTTAGCGTGCTACACTCAGTTCAATCTGCTTAAGTTTACATTACATCTTTGTTGCATGTCATATATACTGAATCTCCGTGAATTACATCTACATTCAATATCTTCTCAGTAGAATTAAGATGAGATCAGAAACATCAGTTGAATAACCTGGATTCATGGTAGGATCATCGCTGAGAATTCCGGAGAAAACTTCAAGCTTGTTCATCAATCTCGTCGATCCTCGCCTCGATCTCGATCTCTCCAGACACGAAGCCACATCGTTGCACCACCCTCCTCCCTATACATTATCATCTTATCATCATCATTAATACATGATTGTAACTATAATCATTATTAATTACTAATGTAACTCACCTCAAACTGTAAGAGCCAGTTGTGTAGGCCAGAGCCAAATCCTCTATGAATGTGGTAAGCTGGTGGGCTCCCATCTAAACAAACTGCATGAACCAAGATTACCTACATTAATATTTACTTTTTATATTAAAAAATATTTAACCTAGTAGAGTTAGATCTGTTGTTACTACATTACATATGTCCCGTGACTCTGTCATTCAATATAATAATAAAAAAATACAGCATAAAAATTGTTAAAATAATCACTGTTCTATTGAAGTTGCTGGATGCGTACTCGCCTGCTCCCAGAGAAGAAGCATTACGAACAAGAGTCATTGGAACCAATAACCTCTGTTGCTGCTTTTGTTTCTGCCCGTGATTTCTCCCATCACCAAGTGAGTGGATTACCCTTAACGGGTAGGATCCGATAAGAGCTAACGCTAAGAAGATGACCCATCTCAAATTGCTGGGTCCAATCATAGTGTTGAATTCAGAGAAAACAATGGAGGAATTTGACAGGGGGGTCGAGACAAGAGGAAGCTGTATATATATAAAAGAATTGGTAAATTGAATGTAATGAATGGGGGAAAGAATTAATGTGAAAAAGGTACGATGAAGATATAGGTATTGGTCTTCTCTATACTTGTAAGGAAAGGATTCATACTATGAGAGAGAGAAGATGCATTTAAAGAAAGAGAAAAAAAAAAGGAAAAGAGAAAAGGATGGTGGCTGTATTCGGGCGGTGGTGGCTAGAACATACAACTGGATTTCGGGGAAGAGTGTGACGAGAGCATAGAAGGTGGGGTCCACTTTTGCAACAGATTGCACGGATCATAAAGCATGGGGAACGTAGGGATATTGCAAATATTTGCTTCATAAAATAATTGCTATATTTGTGTCGTAAAGATACTGATTTGAACAATCCTACAGTGGACGTTGATATATCGTCGTTCGCTGGTCCCGACACGCAAATTCTACAATGTAGGAGTCGGAAGAAAAATAGGAACACAAAGCACAAGTTTGCAACAAGATGAGATTTATGAGGTTCGGATCGAAACTTAGGCCTAGGTTCTCAAATGGCGGAGGTATATTCACTATGAAAAATATAACGAGTATGAGAACTTAAATATGCAACTCTTAAATATATTTGCATTTTAACTCTACAGGTCAAAAATGATAATTTATACATAACACCAACATTTGAAGGACTTTGCATTGAATCTTTGTCAAAGATCCTCTAGAGAAACTAGCTATGCAAATATGTGCTTCATAAGTAATATTGCCATAAACTAAAGGATTTGCATCAAATCCTTATCAATGGTCCTACAAAGAAAATAGCAACTTAGTTTATTTTATTTTGACACGGCGCAGGATCCCTTTGTAGAAAATAGCTACTTAGTTCATTTTGACACGGCGCAGGATCCCTTTGTAGGACCATTGATAACGATTCAATGCAAATCCTTTATAGCTCATGGCAATTATTTATGAAGCAAATATTTGTTGTGCCAAAAGCTGTGTCGAGGAATCAAACCAAACGCCAATCCAAGAGAGCCAAACGAACTAAATATCAATGCACAACAAAACACTGATTTTAACGTGGTTCGGCAAGTTGCCTACGTCCACGGGGCAAGAAGGGGATGGGGTTTTCACTAATAGAGAAGAAAAGTACAAATTGAGATTACAAATCACTCGAAGGAACAAACTAATCTCACAAACAAAACTCTTAATCTCCCCAAACAAAACCCTAACCAAAAGCTCAAAAAAATACCTCTTTTTGTGCTCCAAATATCCCCCAATCAATGCTTAATCAAAGCTCAATCAAAGCCTAAACAAAGCCAAGAAAACCCTAAAAAACGTGTCTCTATTTATAGCAAAACACAATCCCAAACAGATTAGGATTCTAAAAACGAGTCTGCCACACCCTGGTGTGGCACACACCACACCCATGACAAACATGACAGATTCTACCACACCAGGGTGTGGCAGACACCACACCCATGACAGACAGGGCAGATTCTGCCACACCCATGGCAGACACCACATCAGTTTGTGGTGGAGCCTGTTTAGCTTATTCTTCACGTTTTTCTCAATTCCTTCCTCAATTCCTTCGCCGTTTTCATAATTCTCCACCTTGGCGAAGTTTTTTTAAAACTGAGCCGACACCAACCAAACCAAATGCCTCACTTGCTGCTTCTCAATCCTCAACAAGTCAAGATCCAAACGGGAGTGCGAACACTCACCCAAATGTCGGTATCTACTCACCAAATCGGCTGCATCAAAACTGACTGCCTACGTATCCTCTTGCCCAAGGAATTAAGCCTTCACGTAGTTCACCCAAACGGTCTCCAAAGGTCCTCAAACAAATAGAAGAGCAAGCAACCCTCCTCCATCATCACCAAATCTGCGACTGATAGCACCTCCAATGACCTCAAACTGAAACGATCCAAACACCTCCACCTGAGGTGAACCAATGGCCATGTCCAAACTGCGCCTATCAGCTGCACTCAAATCAATCAACACGTTATTTGCATCCAAAACCAAATGATCTTCACGCTGTGTCACCCCAGCTGAAGTCCCAAATAATACAGAATGACCTGGAGTATGTGGAGTAAACTCCACCCAATGTGGAGTAGCATCACCCTCCACCCGCTGCGATATCCAACTGATCTGATCAACACTCTCTACCTGCTGAGAGTCCAATGTGACATACCTGCTCAGAACGAAATCAGAAGCTCTCAAACGATAATCAAACAAGCCTCCGAATCCCAAACGTGCAATCGGATCAAATCTTACATCCTCGATGTGACCAAATGCTGTGTAACTAAATATCCAATGCCAACCAAAATCTGAAGCAGCTTCACCAGATCCAATAACCCCTAATGCAGCAGTCGGCGACCTATGCATAAGATGACCCAAATATGTCGAAGCTCGAACTCAAAAACCAATACTCGACATCAAACGTCGATCCTCCTCTAGAAAGAAACGACCAATCAAAAATATCATCTCATCTCGTCGCCCCAACGTTTCTTCTCCAATGAAGTATCTCAAACTGCCATGAGCTCGGTACAAATACAGTAGGTCCCTCTTGTACCTCCCTTTAAAACCAGAATGAAGTACCTTCACCTTACTGTCAATACACTTCTTCAACTGTTGTTGACTACTAGGACTTCAAAACCAACGGGACTTGGTTGTAACCCACAAATACCTAGTACAATCCCCAACAAAGGAAACCAAAATACCAATTACCTTCCAATGATGCTGTAGGCATCGAAAATTGCCCATAGGTCTCCACGAACAGCTCAGTGTTAAAGAACGATGATGAACGTCACTATCCGGTCCACAGGAGTTCGATTGATGACGATGAACGATTGAAGCAAATCGACAAACTACGAAGGCACGGGCTAATCGGGAACCCTGTGGTGTTTATAAAAGGAACAACACCCTCCATATCTCGTTCATCCTACAGATAATCCAACCATCAGAGCGGGTAGAACTCTTCGTCAGGCTTCCAACGCACTTGGAATCACTCAAATCCGAGTTCGGACGAAGAATTTACAGCGGAAGCGGACGAATGCACCTCAACGGGATGTCTCGGAAATTCCGAGACACCCCCAGGGGTGTCTCGGAAATTCCGAGACACCCCAGGGGTGTCTCGGATTTTCTGAGACACCCCAGGGGTGTCTAGGCTTTGCCTAGACACCCCAGGGGTGTCCCGACGCCCTGTACCCCCTCTTGCCTATAAATAGGAGCCTTAGGCCTCACTTTTTGGGGATCTGGATTTTTAGAGAGTTGGCGAAGCCCTGCTGCAGTGAAGAGTGGTCGAGCGCTTCAACACAAGGGAGTTCCTCATCACCCGTGTCTGTTCCTTAGCATTACCCTTCGCCGGTAATCCTAAGAAGAGCAAATATCTCGCTTTAGCCGAGATAGGCGCTTCAAGCTTCGAGATCTCCTCGCAGATCGACGAAGCTCTGCCCGATTTTTCTGGATCAGATCTGATTGCCAGGTAGTCCACAGATATCGACGTCCCCGTCACAGGCCAAAGACCCACGCAAACAAGAGACGATAAACGGATCTTGTGTTTATTTTCAAGAAAGTTGTAATTTTTTAATTTTCGTTATTTGAATTCATTTGTAACGTTTGAAGTTTTTAATGAAATCAATGATGAAGACAACTTTTGACGAAAACAAACTGGCGACCACAGTGGGAGCCAACAGCCTCGTTGCCGAGGCTGTCGTGACGCAACCGGCATTCAAGATCCGGGTGAATGAAGAGATCGAGTATGAGTTCGATCAGCAGAAGTTTGAAGAGTATCTCTCTTCCTCCTCCTCCAGATCCGCCTCTCCAAGCAGGCGTAGGAAGGCATCCTCTTCCAAAAATGTTCGCGGGACCTCCGGCTCGAAGATCCGAGATCCCCTCGCCGTAACTGCACTTACTCCCCGCGACGCTCCTACGACGTCTAACGTGGTCGAAGCTGTAGATCCAGATCTCCCCTCCGCCGTGAAGGTGACCGCTGAAGGTGCTCCAACTTTGTCGAAGAGGGCGCGCCGCTCCACCATTCAAAGAGAGCACGCTAAAGGCGGCGTCAACGCCTTGCTCGTCAGCTGGCCAAGGCTTTGGAGCCGATGGACGGGATCCGCTACAATGAAGATCTAAAGTCCAGACAGCGCCAAGAGCAACAACTGCGCATAACCAACTCCTCCTCCAAGGCAGAAACGAACGAATGGGTTCGTGTCACGAGGACTCGCTCAACCCTCGAAGAGCGAATCAAGAAACGCCACGCATTGCTTGCGCATGCCTGAGTCCTTCTGCAGAAAGCGGAAGAGATGCAGAAAGAAGAGACGGTCAAGAATCCGTCAAGACACAAGCAGGTGTGGGTGCCAAAGGCAAAGCCGGCGCCTAAGACAAAAGTGGACGGAGTTGCCGTCCAGCCTTCTTCAAATCCAGATCCCGTTTCCCCTATTCCTGTACCTCCGACGGAGCCAGGTAAGAACGTGGGTCCTGCAAGATCCAGAGTTCCTTTGAAAGGTCGCCTCGGTCCTTTACCCAGGAACCGAGGTAAAGCACCTGTCAAGGAGCGATTGCGTCCGTTGAAAGGTCCCCAAACGACGAACCAGACCGGGGGTCGTGTTAATCCCTCCAAAGAAGATAACAAAGGGAAAGCCCCTGTTACAGACCGCATCGGGTTGCGTGTCGAAGTTCAAGAGCTCTAAAACCCCAAAGAGAGTATCGGTGTTCGAGAGGATTTCCAAGCCAAGGCGTTTTCGTGGGAAGAAGTTCGTTCGCCAAGAGGACGAATTCCTAGAAGTGTCTGTTAATATGACTGGCAGAGGCAAATCGACACGACCCTCTAGCTCAGATCAACTGGCCGAAGCGTCCCAGCGCATCACTCGATTGCGGTCAGGGATCAATAGGCGAAAGAATTACCAAAGAATGCAAAAGGGACTTCCTTTGGAAGAAGAGGCGTCGGATGCTGGTTCAGACTCCTACTCGGCTATAGCATCCGATGACACGGCGTCTAGTGCGGGACAGCCTTACGAATCACTTATGATCAGCGCCGAGCAAGTAAGCAAGATGCTTGAAGATGCCCTGACTAAGCAGAAGGAAAGTTTCAAGTTCGAGATGGAGATGGCCATGCAGCAGATGAGAGAGATGCATGACCAGCAAATCGCGGCACTGACAACTCACCAAGGAGAACCCAGTCGTCGCAATAATCCGAATCAAGATGAGAATGAACGGGAAGAGGAA